TAATAATCCATTATCAGTATAGGCCAAGAAAATCTTTATTGGTGCACCCCTACATTACTGAGCACATGCTGCTTTAGACAGTTTATTTCATAAAGTTTCCTTGTATATGGCTGTAAGATGGGGGTCTTTCCTCCCATATTAATTGAAGGGTGGGGCTCATCTTGCATTTGAGTAAATATGGTAATAGAATAATTCTTTTGCTGCCATGAACTTGGGAAGATGACATCAAGTCAGGTTTTTTTTAACACTTTGGATTCCTATTTGAAAGTTTTGGGTTTATCTTGTGAATCAGTTTGTACACCTGATTCAAGTGTGCTAAGTCAGCATGGTACACCACGGCACCCTTGAAAGGATCTCAAGGCACCATAGGGTGCCATGGCACCATCAGAAATATAAGATGATGTATATGGTGTCAAAATAATGAACTGCCCACTAAGCAAGTTTTTTCTAACCCTACACTAACATGAGCCATTCAGTCTCCAGCCCCCCGAGTAAATAGACAAATTTTGCAATGAAACTTGAATGTGACAGACTTCTTGGCCAAAGTATAGAGTGGGTTCCAGTTATGAGACTGGAGAACATCACATTGGCAGCTCATCTCTCAAACTAGGGAGTTCCAGTTCTATGTCTCTGGTCACATCTGTAGCCCAGGGAAAGTTGTAGTCTCTCAAGCAGACAAAGTCCAAACTTTTAAAGCGTAGCAGCTCAAAAGTGCTGCTTTTAAAAGAATGTATCTTGAAATTAGAGGTGTGCCAATGTATTAATTGCATATTGGATCGGCACCAATAAAAGGAAATTAATATTATTGGCTATTAGCTTTTTTTGGCTGGTTTAGCTGATAATGTTCACTGATAACTATGATATGCCTTCTGGTTGGGGCCTCTGGATGCTGTGTGCATCTGTGCAGTCACATGCATGTATGTGACCAGGAATGCAGCTGGGCAGCATGGAAAGCAGTGCCATGCAGGTAAGTCTGTGAAGGGGAGGGGTGTGGGGGGCAGTTGAGGCCCCCACAGTGAAGGAGGGAGTGAGGCTGGGGTGGGGTCACTACCCAGCCAAGGCAGTGAATGGGACCTAGGGCTGGAGCAGGGAGCAGAACGGAGCCATGGGTGGTTCGTCCAGGGGGCATGGGGGGTGGCTCACCACCACTGTGCGCATCCCCCCAGGGGGAAGCATTGGGGGGGCGTGTGCCCCCCAGATTTGTGCGCAGGGCAGATGCGGGCTGCTTGCTGTGAGCTCAGGGCTCTCTGCTCTGCTACCTTTCCCTCAGGAGCCCTGCACTAGCCATGCACTCCGCCTGCCTGGCAGCAATTGGGGTGGTGAATTCTGCCCCGTCCCACTGGGCAAATAGGGTGTGGGGCCCCTGTGGGTAAAGGCAGCAGGGTGGACAGCTCCAAGCCCACAGCGGGCAGCCCACATTTGCCTTTGTCCCCACTCAGCTCCACTCTGGTTAAAAGCGTTCCTGCACTTAAATGATGGCTGTGGAGCTTGAACTAAAGCTCATCCAGTGAACTTTAGTTCAAGTGCCCCCATCACCATTTTTAAGCACTGGGATGCTTATTGCCTGGACAAGCCACCCATGGCTCTGTTCTGCTCCTTGCCCCGGCCCCAGGTCCCATTTGCTGCCCCTGCCCCACACCCTTCCTCACCATGGGGGGCCTCAGTCTGCCCCCCATGTCCCTTCCCCTCCACAGACTTACCTGCAGGGAGCTCCATGCTGCCTGGCTGCAGTCCTGTAAATCAATTATCAGATTGGTATTGGCCAATATGGCTGGTTAATCATTAGCTATCAGTATTGGCCAAGAAAATCTTTATTGGTGCACCAATAAGTTATGGAAATATTTGTTTCATATGCTCCTGATAATCTTTTGCAATCTTGCAATCTCTTTTGCCAGACAAATAGGGAAGAAAAGTTCTTAGTATTACTGGGTACAAATACTTGGTACTTGCTATTTATAATAATAATCCCTGAACCAGGTAGGCTACTCTGCTTTACCTTCTAACAATAATTTAGTGTAACAAATATGTGGATATCTTCTCCTATAATATGTGTACCATAAACCCAGTTTACTTTTTTAAACCCAGTAATAGCCTTTAAATGGGTAACTTGCATTCATGCTTGATTCCATCACGGAT